GTGTTAAATTGTAATTCATAGTATCGAAACTATGTGTCGAAGGGTTTAAATGTGGATCGAAGCAGGTTGCTCAAAGGAAGCCATTGCCTAGTCGAAGAGCTTGTGGATTGAAGCAAGTTGCACACAGATTATATTTGTTTTAGACTTAGGTAGATTTGATTTAAGTCTAAAATAGAATAGATTTGATTTAGTACTAAAATAGGTATTTTGGGCTTTTATAGTTTTGGGCTTAGGGAGCAAGCTAAATCTATAAATAGAGGGAGTAACCCCTATTTTTGTAATCAAGACAATCAAGTCAATTCATTATAATCACAGAATTTGCAGTTGCAAGTGATTAATATAGTTTTTCACAGTTTGTGGGCAGAGAGAAACTCTGTAGAAAATAATTTTCTTCTTTCTTTTCTTTTCTTTTCTCATAACTCATTGTCATTGTGTGGTGATATCAATATTGTTCATCAATATCGGTAGAAATTCATCATATATATTTGGTGGATTTCCAACATTTCGTACTAGAGATCGGTTAATCGATTCAAGGGAAGTATCAATCAAGAACGATTGAAGAATTCACAATGGCGAATTATGGGAATGCAAATTATCCAGCAACTCTATCAATTCTGAAAGTAGACAACTATGAGAATTGGTGCAAACAGATGAAAGTTTTGCTCAGGTGTCAAGGTCTTTGGGATCTTGTAAAATATGGATTGGAAGCGCTTGGAGAAAACGCTTCAGAAGAAGAAAAGAAGAAACACACAGAAATTGAGAAGCTGAGTTATAAAGCACTCTTTATAATTCATCAATGTGTGAGTCCATAAAATTTTGAAAAAGTAAGTGATTCAGAATCTGCAAAAGAAGCTTGGGATGTACTTGAGAAGTCTTTTGGTGGTGCAGAAAAGGTGAAAGAAGTGAGGTTACAAACTCACAAGAGAACGTATGAATTGATTCAGATGGAAGATAGTGAGAGCATATTTGATTTCTTCACTAGGGTTATAAAACTAGTGAATCAAATCAAGGTATGTGGAGAAACATTAACAACAAGAGCTGTTATTTTGAAGATCTTGAGATCTTTGGCTCCTAAGTTCGACCACATGATGGTGGCTATAGAAGAAGGGAAAGTCTTGTCTAAATTGACAAAGGAAGAGCTTCAAGGGACGCTTGAATATCATGAACAAAAATGACTGAAAGAGCTACAGGAAAATCGAAGAGTGATGTGGCTTTGCAGGCACATTCAGCAATAGAAACCAAAGGCAAAGGAAAATGGTTCGACAGGGGTAGAGGCGGCTACAAAAAACCAAATGGTAGAGGAAACCAAAACGAAGGAAACGTGTCGAATCAAAGAAGACCATACCAATGAAACCAAATAGGTGGTGTTGCAAATAGAGGAAGAGGTGATGGTCGAAAATCTGACAAGAGTCACATTAAATGTTACAATTATCATAAGTATGGTCAATATTCGAGTGATTGTCCATAAAAACGAAAGAATCAAGAAAGTGATGCAAAGTTTGCAAAACATGAAGAAGAAGAGATGACGCTGATGGTCACAACAAGAGATGAAGATATATTCAAGAACCAATGGTACTTGGATTCAGGATGCTCATCACATATGTCTGGAAGGAAAGACTTGTCTGTCAACATAAAGCCATCAATGAAAAATATGGTAAAATTCGCAAATGACAATACCCTAGCAGCTGAAGGTATTGGTGATGCTATGATTATGAGAAAATATGGCAAGAGGTCAGTAATTTCCAATGTGTTGTACATACCAGGCATGAAGAGTAATTTGCTCAGTATAGGGCAGTTGGTCGAAAAGAATTATAAAGTGCCGATCAAAGATAAGATGATGAGAGTCATCGATGCAAATGGAAGATTAATCTTGAAGGCTCCTATGTCTCAAAGTAGAACCTTCAAGATCGAACTAAATGTGATGGAGCACAAGTGCCTTTCAACTGCAGCTAGGAGAGATGAATGGATATGGCATTATAGACTAGGCCATCTCAATTTCAGAGACATCATAGATTTGAAGAGAAGAAACATGGTTTCAGGATTGTCAGAAATAGACATTCCAAACAAGGTATGTGAGGAATGTGTGCAGGCAAAGTAGCACAAGAATAGCTTCAGCAAGGATGCAGGAAGCAGGTCGAAGGCTATTCTTGAAGTCATATACTATGATGTATGTGGACCAATCCAGGTGGATTCGATGGGAGGTAAAAAATACTTTGTTACATTCATAGATGATTTTAGTCGAAAGCTGTGGACTTACCTGATCAAGAAGAAAAGTGAAGTGATCGAGGTATTTGCCAAGTTTAAGTATATGGTCGAAAGACAAAGTGGTAGAAAACTCAAAGTTTTGAGAACTGATGGTGGTGGAGAGTATGTGTCGAAAGACTTCGACATGTTATGTGAAAAGGAAGGGATTGTGCATGAGGTGGTGCCACCCTATACTCCACAACATAATGGAACTGCAGAAAGGAAGAAACGAACCATCATGAATATGGTGAGAAGTATGTTGAAAGGTAAGAATTTACCTAAAGAGTTTTGGGGTGAAGTTGTGCCAACTGTAACATACATTTTGAATAGATGTCTTACGAAGAAGCTAGAAGGAATTACTCCAGAAGAATGTTGGTCTGGTGTGAAGCCTAGCTTGAGTCATCTAAAGGTATTTGGATATATTGCACATAGACATGTGCCAGATCAGTTGAGAAGAAAACTTGATGACAAGTCAAGTCAAAATGATTCTAGTTGGATATCATTCGACAGGAGGTTACAAGTTATTCGACCTAGTGAACAATCAGATTGTGATAAACAGGGACGTGATCATAGATGAGCTTAAAGAATGGGATTGGACTGAAAATGTCAAGAAATATTCAGTGATAATCCTACTTGAAGAACCAGAAACTCATGTCGAAAGAGAAGTTTGACAAGAGGAACCAGCAGTTATAGATCAACCAAGTACAAGCAGGCCTTAAAGAACAAGACGCATGCCTGCAATATTGCAAGATTGTATGATTACATCAGATGGTGTGATAAATAATAAAGGTGAGTTGGTAGATTATGCTTTCTATGTAGATGCCGAACCTTTCAATGCAGCTGAAGCATTGAAGGATTTGAAGTGGGTGAAAGCAATGAACGAATAAGTAAAGTCTATCGAAGACAGCAACACTTGGTCACTTATCGAATTGCCTCAAGGCAAGAAGGCAGTTGATGTCAAGTGGGTATACAAAGTGAAGAGGAATTCCAAAGGGAAGTAACTCGACACAAAACAGGGCTTGTGGCAAAAGAATTTCTACAGAAAGAAGGAATAGACTTCGATGAAGTTTTTGCACCTGTTGCTAGGATCGAAACAATCAGGTTGATTGTTAGTCTAGCAGAAATAAATAGATGGCACATATGTCAGATAGACGTGAAGTGTGCATTCCTGAATGGACCCTTAGACGAAGAAGTTTATGTTAAACAACTAGTTGGGTTTGTGAAACACGACGAAGAGAGAAAGGTGTACAGGCTACATAAATCCATGTATGGATTAAAACAGGCTCCAGAGCTTGGAATAAGAAAATTGATAGTTTCCTAAGGGAGAAGGAATTTGTGAAGTCCACAACTGAACATGGAGTATATGTAAGAAGAAGCAATAGTGAATTTCTTATACTATGTCTCTATGTCGATGATTTGTTGATAAGAGGTAGCTGTAAAAGTGAGATCGGAGACTTCAAAGGTGATCTCAGCAAGGAATTTGAAATGTCTGATCTGGGTGAGATTTCATATTTCCTTGGAATCGAATTCTACAAGAGCAGTAGAGGTTCGATGATGTATCAAAGAAGATATGCAGGACAAATTCTCAAGAGATTTGAGATGGAAGAATGCAACTTAACTTCGACACCTGCAGAGCCAAGACGGCAACTGTCGAAAGATTCATATGAAGATGATGTCGACCCGACCCAATACAAAAGACTTATTGGGTCATTAAGATACCTTTTTCGTACAAGGCCTGACTTAGTATATATTGTAGGTATGGTAAGTAGATTCATGCAGAAGCCAAAGATATCACATCTAGCAGTAGTGAAGAGGATACTAAGATATCTCAAAGGAACTCTCAACTATGGCATTTTGTTTCCTGCAGCTGATAAAGGAAAAGAGTGCAAGTTGGTGGGATACACTGATTCGAGTTGGTGTAGTGATGATGAAGATCAAAAATCAACAACAAGATATGTGTTCATGTTAGGTGGTGCACCAGTTGCTTGGAGTTCAAGAAAGGAACCAGTAGTGGCATTATTATCACGCGAAGGAAAATACATAGTTATTTCTCTTTGCGCATGTCAAGCAACTTGGATGGTGAACTTGGTCGAAGAGA